TTAGAACTGTTGGTTATTAATTATTTGTTAACAGGGAAGGCACATATGACCTGCAAAGATTAACCTTAGACCATCATCCTCATTTAGGAGGACTTGAAATGCTACCGACTGAAGTAGTGATGGTTTGCAATGAGAAAAATTCTCTCTAGCTTTCACATGACTCAAACTATGCACACAGGCTTATTATTTTAACCATCTTAGACATATATATATATATATATGTATATCGCTGTTCCTGTCCTCCCATTGTTCATGGATTTGCTTGAGCAGCCCAGTAACGTCTCCATTTTGTGACTTGTTGTTACTTTCTTTGGCATATCGAATAAATCACGGGTAGCTTGCCAGGCTTTGCCTTGCGGGCAAAATACTCTCAGTAGCTTTCAGGGCCTTTGAGAGGGACGAAAGAATTGAACCCGGGTCAGCCACATGCAAGGCAAACGCCCTACCGCTGTGCTATCGCTCCAGCCCAATATCTATGCACAAAGGGCTGAACCTTTAACAACAGGCTCATAATCTCTTATAAAAGGGTTTAGTGGTTCCTGCGTGAAATACAACAATCTTCACACACTTTTCTCTAAAGAAACATTTTGGAGCATTTTTAGCATTTTTTTACCTTTATTCATAACAAATAATGCAAAATAAATTATTTTGGTTCTGCTATGGGGCAGGGGTTGGGGTTTGGGGTGAAAACATCCGAAATATGGTAGTGGGAATGTGTAATGGTGCTGGGATTCGCGATCAAATATAAAATCTAATCAAATATTGTGTACTAATTTATAAAAATAAAATTAAAAATAAGAAATAAGAAAATTCTCAAATGAAAGGAATAATTAGCCAATTCACCAGTTGGTTCTGGAAGAATAAACAAAATTGACAAGAAAAAAATATCCAAAGATGAATAGCCTAAGATGCAGTGTGGGCAGGATACTCTCAGTAGATTATCGGACTCTCTGAAATATATAAATATAATACATATTTATATAATATATAAATGTAATATATGTAATATTTATATATTTATATATTTATTTATGGGCTGGACCTGTTCTCTATAAATGAAGTGCCTGTGTCTGTGTCCAAAAATACTACAGATGATGAACACACATTTAAGAGGTTTTTAAGGCATTACAATATACAAAAACATAGTTTCACTGTCAATTTTGTAAGCTCAACTGAACCTTACATATCTCTGTCGATATTTGCTTAATTCTTGCATCTCTTGCCAAACAGGCTACCAATTGCACAATTGGATGTCAGATTATGATTGTTTCAATATTTTAAGTCAAGAAAACTGTTTCAATTATTGACGAAGAAATAGTGATGGAACCTAATTTTTGGTTTCTAAAACGTTTCGGGAAACAAAGGTGAAGCTTTTCTATGTATGTATTTTCTATGTATGTCAGAGCTTCCCATTTTCCCCATTTAGGAGTGACCTGACTTTTTTCATGTTCCAGGGCTAAAGTTTTCAATAAGGAAAAACTTTGTGTTTGCTTTTGCATCCTACACAAAAGGTCCACATGGTAGTAGGGCTTTGTTTGCTCCTGCTGTTTTATTGCTGTTGTATTTTGGGATTCTTTTGTTTTGGTTTGAAGCCACACTGGCTGTGCTGAGGAATTCCTTTGCACTCAGGAATTACTCTGGCAGTACTCAGGGTACCATCTGGGATGAAGAGGATGGAAGCCAGTTTGGCCATAGGCAAGGCAATGGTCCTACCCTGCTGCACATTCGCTCCGACCCCAAGTATCAGTCTGAATGGTCCCAGGAGTCCTTTACCACCCTAGCTCTCAGCGTCCAGATCCGGAACTGATCTGGCGCAGGTGTGCGGCGCTGCCACAGCCTGGGGGAGACGCGCCCCCGAGACAGCTGGAAAGTGCCACATACCCCTCTGTTGAGCCCGACATAGGCATGGGTGCGACTATCCCAAAGAGGAATCATTACACCCATAGCTTGTAGGACATTGGCAGTTGCAGACCCCGCGAGAGATGCAGGTGCGCGTGCGTGTCCGTTACCTCTAACTGCTTAGAACTGAGCCAGGACAGCCCCAATGCGCGCGCACCAACAGGCTGCAGTGGTGCAAATGTCGGCCAGTCATGCACGAGATTGGTGGCTTTTCAGGGATAATAAGGATTCAGTTAGGGACTGCAGAAGTTCATGCTGTGGGGATGGAGTCTCCTGAACAAGACAGAAGCTGTTTGACCAATATAAAGAAATCACTACACATGCCAGCTGGTAGAACGTACATGTACTTTTAACCAGAGTGGAAGTCAGTTATGAGTTCATCAAAATGAGATCCTTAGGGGTTTCAGTTCATAGTACATGTCTAGAAATATGTTAACAACAGAAAACCAGTTTAGTGTGGGAGAGATCATTTTATTACAAGGCGAAGTTGAAGGGAACACCCAGCCATGCATTAAAAACACATCATTGAGCCTTTGGGAAAACTTAGCTTTGAACCACTAAAGATATTCCTCAATTCAACATTATATTTAGGAGGCAAATCATACATAAAATGTATTGCAAATGCAAAGAAGTAAGTTTGAACTTCGTAGCTGTTTTAACATGAAACTTCATGGCTATTCCAGGAAGGATAAGAGCTTCCAGAAGAAAGGAACTTTGAAAAAGCTAGTCAAACATGTTAGACAAATCTACATTACTTTCAGTCCTAGGGATTGGACCCTAATGAAGGATCAGCAAAACAAAGAAACAAAAAAGCAAATCCCACTGCATTTGCTTGGGAAAACTCCTTTTAATTTTTGACCTCCATGGGTTCACAAGTCACAAATGACTGAATATTGCAAAGAAAGCATAGACTCTGTTGAAGGAGGTCAACAGGAAGAGAGGAGGAGAGAGATTTGAGGGGCACACAACTAGACTGGTGGATAAATTATTGAGATACAGCAAAGACCAAGCCAACCTGTGTGCTGAGAATCGGGAAACTTTGTCTAAGTGGCTGGAAGAGGCCATGTGAGCTGCTCTGCCTCTGAGCAGTTTGAAGGAAAGTTATGGTTCTGGCCGTCCAATCAGAGCCCTTCATGGAATGTTTCCCCAGCCAGGCCCTCCTGGCCCTCCCCTCCCCCACTGTAGAATGTCTTGGGCCCAAGATTCTGAGGTTTGAATTCAAACTTCACCCTCACCCACTGGGATCCTGAGCGTCTGCGTGAGCAGTTCACTCTCTGATCCTGGTCCTGATTTTTGCCGTTGTGAAGGCTGATAAACTGCAGTGGCCTCTGGCCTCATCAATGGCGATGGCGTCAGGAGGAGGTAAGCCTGTGAGGGTGTCTGTGTATGTGAGAAAGTCTCTGCCACCCTGAAATCGTTTGGGTTCATAGTCACCCTGACTGGGAACACCACGTTTTGAGTGGGTGAAAGAGGAGAAAGACCTGGGCTCCATAGATAGCTCACCTGTACAGCAAAGGGAGCCCAGGAGAACCTGAGGGGTCTGGGAGGGCATCCTTGGAGGTGTGTCAAATTAACTGGGGGAAGGTCATTGGTATGGACAGAGGGAGGCAGCAGGCATATGGCTGCTTTATATGTGAGTGTCCCGCTGGTGTATGGGGGAACAAGGCCATTTGTCATGTGTCTGGAGGGACTGTTTTGTGGAGGCACAGGGAAGACCCAGGCATGCTGAGTCCATGTCCCCTCCTGTGCTCTAGAATAAGTTTAGAAGTAATTAGACTTGGGCTGAGCTCAAACTGATGTGGACAGCTCAGCCCAGATGGTCCAGCCTGAACCTTGTTGAGTGAGGCTGTCTGTGTGTACTTCTGCCATAATGCGTCCTCCCCAGAGCTGGGCTGCAAGTGACTAACTGCCACAGTCAGAGCCTGACACTTCTGCAGACTTAAACTCTCTGCTGGCTGAGCCCAGCAGCTGTCTTGGGTCAGCAGGTTGGGAGACAGGTGACTTCAGCGTAGTTACGACTCAGCTTCCTGAGTTGTTCTGGATTGTTCTCCTTTTGGTGAAGTTTGTTCTTCCATGGTCTGGCATCTCATGGTGCCGCCCCAGAAAACATTTCAGCTCTGAGGTGAAGATTGATTGAGAATTGCATACTTCCTTCACAGACAAGGGATAAATGGATGTGTGAGTCTATGTGTGAGTTTGTGAGAATGAGTGTGTGTTTCTGTGTGTGTGTGTGTGTGTGTGTGATATGTGTGGTTTTCCTGAGAAAATTCTGTGAAGGTCTGTTCCTTGAGGAGAGGTGGGTGTACTGAGGCAGAAAGAGCATCGTCAGAGCAGTTGGAGACATCAGGGCCTCTGTCCTGAGCATGATGCGCACAGGCTCTGGGACTTCTCTAGGGCGAGTCTCTGCGTGAATTCCTCCTGTGTAATGATGGTTGCAGATAATTTTCTTTCCTGGCACCTGGTTTATGACTGATGTTTATTATCCTGTATCTGCCTCTGGGATAAAGTCTTAGATTATTTAGAAGTTGTTAACAATTTTCAATCTAACATGATCAGCAGCTCCAGAATTCTGGAAACATCCCCAAGTGTCTGACTGGTGAAATCTCTGGCCATTTTCACACCTGCTGCCATCCCTGATGGAACTCTCCCAGAACACAAGAACCCTAGCCTTAGGATCTCCACGAAGTATAACCCAGCTGGAGGGGAGGGATGGCCTTTGCCCGGGACTCAGGGCTGAGACAGGGCACACCACCTCATTCCTTTCAAAGGGCCTGCTCTAGAGATGGTTGGGCCAGTGAGGCCTTGCTCCCCCCTACACCGTCTCCCTCTCACTCCCCTCCCTCCTCTCCACAGTGTCTCCTTTGCTGCTCCCAGAGATGACCATGAACCTTGGGGTCTCCGGTTCTGCATTCCGGGTCTTGCCCTTTCTCAATCCAGGGCTCCCCCAGCCACCACCCTGGGAGCCGATCCAGATGCCCCCTCTGGTGACCTCGGCCATCGCTCCTGGCAACCCTTTGGTGCTGTCACCTTTCCCCATGATGCCTGTGGTGGCAGGAGCGGCCAGCCATGGTCCCCGAGTTCCTGAACCTTGCAAGGTCATCATGCAGGTCAGCCCAGAGGTGGGGCTTGTGGAATCAGCCCAGAACCAGCCTGTCACCCTGACACAAGCTTCACTCAACTGGGGGGGCCCAGAAGTTCCATCTGCTGTGAATGGGCATCCTGCACCCATCTACCTGGTGTCATCTGTGACAGAGACAGTATTGCCTACCCCAGCTACTACTGTCACCCAGGCTGGGACAGGAGACTATCCTCTTCAGGCTCCACTGCCAGTGGCCCAGGTGATTCCCATCATCCTCCCATCCATTGGTGGACCACTGCCCCAGTGGGTTTGTGGGGAGAGTGCTCCGGCCACCACCCGGAATCAGGCAACACCTGACACCTCCAGCAGCCCCAGGAGTGTCTATGAGAACTTTCGGCGCTGGCAGCGCTTCAAGGTCCTGACCCGGAGGTACCTTGCTCAGACTCCAGACACTGAGGCCGTTTCCTGCTTCCTCATGTAAGTCCCTCGGGTGTCCTAGACTTAATGGGAGCTTCACAGGAAGGGACTGGGGTGACGCCCATGGTAGGGTCCATGAGAGCATGACCTCAGGAATGCCATCCGGGGGTTTCGGCTCAAATCCCATAGTGACCAGTCATGCCCTAAAGCTTCAACTCAGTCCCCTCATCAGGGTTGGTCCCGACCTGTGGTCTGTAGGACAGACATTCTGTTCCTAAGACCAGACACAGCACAGATGCAACAGGGTTCAGACAGGCCATGACTGCTCGGCCATGGAATCTCATGACCTATCCCCAGAGCTGAGGGATCACACCAGCATGGCCACTGAGCTGGGGTGTGGGAGGCAGAGTCAACTCTGCGCGGGGAGACCAGGCCACCATCGGGGGTCTAGGCATGGGTGTAGGGCAGCGGGGGCTACTGGCAGATACAGACCCTGACCGAGCCTGTCCTTGCAGCCCGGTGCTGCGCACCCTGGCCCGCCTGAAGCCCACCATGAGCCTGGAGGAAGGCCTGCGCCAGGCCCTGCGGGAATGGGAGGGCACGAGCAATTTTGACCGCATGATCTACTACAACATGGCTGCCAAGTAAGTCAGTCCTGGGCAGAGAGTGGGGGTTGGGGCTAGCTGCGGGACCGGCCTTCAGGGGCTGCTCCCAGATGGCCAAGGGGTCCTTGGCATCCCCGTGAGGCCCTTCCCCTGCGGAAGATTGTCCCTCCTGGGGCCAGGACACTTCTCCCCACCCCACTCTGGGGCTCCTGACCATAGTCTGAGGGTCACAGTCCCTTATTTTCTGTGACCCTCAAAAGGCTGATGTGGGGAATCACTGGGGGCGCTGGGGTCTGTGCCCACCCATTCTCCACCCTCCTGAGGGCTTGGCCATGAGTGTTCCCTGTCCCTACCTCATCCAGTGTGGTCTAGGCCAGCCCAACTCAATGGGGTCTGTGCTCCCCATACCAGGTTCATGGAGTTTGAGGCTGAGGAAGAGATGGAAGCGCAGAAGCTGCAGTGGATGAACGGAGTACAGGGCCAGCCAACCCCTGCCCCACCCAGGCCTGAGCCTCAGGGGGCTCCAGGCCCACCACTAGGCCAGCAGCCAGGTACCGACCCTGTTCCCCAGCTAATTTTCATAGGCCCAGGAAGGTGCTAGGGTTCCTGCCCTGCCAGGGAGCCTTCACTCTCCCGGGGACACCCAGGCCTATGCTCAGTGGCCCCCCGTTCCTGGGTTTCTCCCTCTCCCTGAACACAGCACGTTGCCTGAGGGCGTCAAACTCACCTTTGAAGTGGGTTTGGATAACCTGGGGACACGGTTGACCCCTATTCCTTTTGAGGGCCCCCTCATCTTTCACGCAGTTATGGGATTCTAGTACACACAGATGTAGACACACACCTGACCTGACCCAGCCCACAGGTATCCGTCCCCATTTCTGTGCTCAGTGCTGTGTGTCTGCGGGCAATGGACGCGGGGTCCCCTCATGTCCCTCTCTCCTTCTTCCTCCTCAGCCTGTGTCCCTAAGAAATCCAGACCCCGGGCTCGGGCAGCCTGCCCCAAGACGCACAAACCACAGTGGGCCCCACAAACCAAGGCCCCCAAGGAGATCCCCCCTGAGACCGTGCAGGAGAACATGGATATCATGGACGAGCTGCTAAAGGCTCCCGACACAGTCTGCAGGGCGCCGCTTGGCCTAAGGGCAGCAGGCAGGAAGGAGCAGCTGGAGGAAACCGGGACCTGCCCTGACGTGGGGCTCCTGAGCTATGTGTATGAGCTGTGCTCCCAGGAGGCCTTTGTCACCAAGGTGGGCTTTGGGCGCTGCTGTAGGGTGGGGAGGGCGCAGGGTTGCTTCTGTCCAGGGCTTGGTAGTGACATATTTCTACTTGTGTTTGTGTGCATGTGTGCATATGTGTCTCCCTGTGTACAAACATGGCCCTAGTTTGTGAATTTCTGGGTTTGGTCGATGTGTAAACATCTCTGTGTGTCTCCATCTGTGTGCACTGTGTGGGCTCTGCGCAGAATCGTGGGGATACATGTACATGTGCCTAGAGGTGGAAGAGTGTGTGAATTTGTGTCATGTGTGTACATGACAGAGACTTTATGCAACAGTCCAAGACCCTGCACTGTGCTGAGAACGGGTGTGTTTGCATCTTAATTCCTTCCTAGTCCTTACGAGAACCCTCACACCCGCTTCCCCCTCCCAGGTAGAGGCAGTCATTCACCCCAGCTTCCTGACACACCTGCTCTCCCCAGAATCCCAGCTGGATCTCCTGGACCTGGCTGAGGAGCTCGAGGAGGAGGAAGGACTCACCCCCACACAGGTGAGGCACATAGGATCTCTGGGGTCCATGCAGGACCCAGGGGAATAATGTGAGGATTTCCTGTAAGGCAATGGTTAGCGGCTCACGGCAAACAGGAGGCATTTTGCATGTGATTGCTGGAAAAGAGAACCTGCAGGGTACACAGGGGACAGGTCCCAGGGCACTTAGAGCAGCAGGTGGGTCATGAGTCAGGGAGGGGCGCCCAGCACTGGGGCCTAGTCACTTGGTGCCCTCCCCGCCCAGGCCATGGGCAAGGGCCTCTCTCTGAGTCCTCAGGGAAGATGAGGACATGAATATGGGGTGAGAGAAGGGTTGGCGGGGGTGAGGGCCCTTAGTGGGACAGAGATCTGGGTTTTCTACTCTGGGAGGAGTCGCGGTCACTCTCTGTCCCACCCTGCACCCCCACATGCCCACACTGTCCTTCCTCCCTTCAGATTGTGGAAAAGCGTCTACGGACTGCGCCAGACAAGGAGGTCCAGAAGGCTTATCCCCAACACCAGCTGACTCCAAAGGACTCAAGTCCATCTGAGAGTGCAGCAGGTCACTGCAAACCAACCCCTACCTGGGGCCATAAGCCAGGGGCCAGCACTGAATCCTGCCCCCCTGAGACTGACTTTGGACACGCCTCAAGTCCTGTGCAGGCTGAGGCCACTGGGATGGCACCTCGAGCCTCTGTCCTCTCTTTGGGGAGCCTGGAATCTCCATCTCTTCAGGCAGAACAGGCCCCCTGTCCCGGCCTTGCTGCCCCTACTCTGGACATCAGGGTCTCCCTCATGCTGGGAGAGGCCCCTCCTGGCCAGGGGCCACATGGGGCAGCAGAGGGCTCCAGTGAGGAGGAGGAGGAGTTGCCCAGCCTGGCCTTCCTCCAGGCCTCTCAACACAGCCTTCAGCCCTGGGGCTTCCCCATGAGCCCTGGCTCAGACACTGGCCCCCGCTGCCCGAGGGCCTGGGGGGCTTCTCGGACCCAACCCACTCAAAGAAGGGCCTGCAATCCTGCTGCCCCTGCTACTGCCCCTTCCAGGAAGCGTCCTCTGTGTGGGAGCGCAGGACTGGGCACTACTGAGAAGACCCCCTTCCCTGGGGAGCACCCCAGGGTGTCTGGGGGCTCAGCCTTGACTGTGGAGCTGGTGGGCCCTTCCCTGCCCCCAAAGAGAAGGTTCTAGCCTGCTGTAGCCCAGAGGAGTACAGTACAGGATGGGTACAGCATCCAGTAGGACACCAGGGGGCTCCCTCCTGGGTCTGGCTGCCCCTAGCAGCCTTGTCTTCCACCTGATCTTCATCCAGCTAGGACTTTTGTGTATTGTTTGGCGGGCCCAGTGGTGGGGTTGTGCTGGAGCAGCCCCTTTGTGTCATTGTGTAAATAGTTAATAAATTTCATTTCATTGAAAACACTCTTGGTATCTCCTGTCACTCATGCTCCTTGGAAAATCCTGAGATGAAAACAGGTAAGGGCGTTACAGGGGTTGGGTCCTGTGAGACATTGTGATCCCTGTAGCAGGGAGGAGTCCTCCCCACCCATTGGGAGATGTGCTCAGTTTCACCAGACTCACCCAATTCTGTGGACATAGGCGTGGCTCACGTTTGCTGCCTTTTCCTTGGAATGCATCAAAAAGCACATCAAAGATTGAGGGCATCACGCTGGAAAAAATCACAGCATGGGAGAGAGCAACACAAAGGAGCTCCCACAGATGTGGGAGACAGACTCTTTCTATTTCTTCCCTGAGTTTGTGGGTCACACCCAACAGTGACTGCTCTACAGAGCTCCTTGTCCTAGGACTCACTCCTGGTATAGTTCAGGGGACAACGTGGTGCTAGACATCAGTAGAACGAGGGCTGTGCACATGCAACACAAGCACCTTAATGTGTATACAATTTTCTCAATTCTCAACATTCAATTTGATTTGTTTTAGTGTCACACAAAATGGTTCCTGGAGCTTACTCTGGCTCTGCCCAGGAAGTACTCCTTTCTGGGCTCAGGGGACCATATGGAGTTCCAGGAATCAAATCCAGGTTGGCCATGTTCAAAGCAACTGCCCCATCATCTGTACTGCTTCTTCAGCTCCAAAATACCTTTTAAAACAATTTCACCACACTTTAAAATAGAGCTCGTATCCTTAGAAGGTGTCCATAACCTCCTCCACTCAGCCATCACCCTTTCTCTCCCCATTGATCCTTGAGTCTTTAACCCCATATTCCTTTCTTCCTCTAGTTTCCCACACTCTCGCCATCTAGCGTTCTGTGGTTCTGTGGCCTCTTTCACTGAGAACAGCTTTTCCTGGTCCACCTACATCAGCTCATGTCCACAGTTCAAACGTTAACTACAGAATCATATTCCATGTGCAGAAGGGCTACATCTGGCAATTCCTTCAATGGTTGATGAACAATGAGCTTCTTTCTACTCCCTTGTGCTAGCTAACAGCAGATACGCAGACTTCAAGTGAGGTTCTCAAAGAATTTTATTGAGAACGCAAGCCTGGGAAAAACCCTCTCACTGCTGGCAGAGAACCCCAAATTTGGGATTGTGGAGTAGAGATTTTATGCACTGTGTAATGCAACCCAAGCACGAAGATTCTGATAACTGTATTAGCGATGCAAATATTTTTGTTATCCAGAGAACATTTGTCCTCTCTTGGTGTTTTCTTTACACTAAGACAAACAGCAAGGTCCTTAATCTTTCCTTCTCTGTCCCGTCTCGACTTCTGGAACTGAGCATGGTGTCCTGAACCTAAAGTTTTCTTTATCCCTGATAGCTCAGCATCTATATTGCCTTTGGTGCTCTGTTACTTTCTGCCTATTTGGAGAGAGTTCAAAATCACAGGTAGTTCCTGTCAGGAATAGGTTTTTTTTTTTGGTATGCAAAATAATTTTTTAAATTTTATTTTCATAAAGTTATTCACAATAATGGATTAGTCATTTAGTGAGTGAGTGGCTGGAGCGATAGCACAGCGGGTCGGGCGTTCACCTCACAAGCGGCCAACATGGCCGACCCGAGTTCGATTCCCTCTGCCCTTCTCGGAGAGCCCGGCAAGCTACCGAGAGTATTCGATATGCCAAACACAGTAACAACAAAGTCTCCAATGGCGACGTTACTGGGCCCGCTCGAGCAAATCGATGATCTACGGGAGGGCTTTTACTTAACTTTCTTTATACTGTAAGGGGAAAGAGGGGACTAGGAGGATGACAAGGAATCCAAGGACGATGACTGGAAGTAGAGGACTTTGAGATCTATGAGGAAACTAGGATGATGGAAGTATGATGACTGGGACTATGAGCAAAAGTACAATGATGGTTGTGCAGTACGGAGAGAGATGAGACTACATTTTGGGAGGAGAGAGAAATAAACTGGCTACTGACAAGTCTGGGGCCCAGTTCCCCTGTTCCCGCAATCCTTTGTCCATCTCTTGCTGTCATCTAGCCTGAAAGGTGGCTCTCGGCCACCAAACACTTGAGTCCCACTTGTGTGCCCGCTCCTTTATTTGGAAACTCGCACCATTCATGTATTCTTGATTGCTTTTCCCTCCCCATTGGAGATGTGTCTGAACATATCCCTAATGTTGAAATCCCAGAATATACCCCCTAACTTTTCTTCTGTGTGTTTTATGATTTTATAGACAACATTTCTCTGTATGTGTTTCTCTGTGTATTTTGACCATTTCTCAGAAATTTCCGGGAAATTTCTGACTCTGGGGGTGAGGGTTTCACTCCTTTAGCTTTAAGGGGACCTGCAGTGTTGGATAGTGACCTTTACTCCTGCATGCAGAACATATGCTCAGCACTTTGACCCAACCATCTCTCTGACCCAAGATCTTTATGTCCAGGCAATATCTTCAGACAGTTATCCCTGCCCCATGCTCTATATGATTTAGTGTCCACACAACTTTATGAGGGTTTTCTGTAAGACATCAATGCATCAGTCTGAAAAGTTAGTGGATACAATTTCTATCTTCCTGATTCTATTAAGGTATGTTTTGGGACCCAGCACATAGTCTATCTTGAAAAATGTTCCATGTGTACATTTGCACAAAAGAATGTGTATTCACATTTTGGGGGATGGAAAGGCCTGTATACATCTATTAGCTCTCTCTCTCTTCCATTTCTTCCTTCAAAGCCATTCTTCAAAGCCATTCTTCCTCCAAAGGCATTCTTCCATGTCTTCCTTCTGAGTTTTAATCTTGTTGATCTATCCAGAGGTGATAAGATGGTGTTGAATTCTCTAACTACTATTGTTTTGCTACCAATATCCTCCTTAAAGTTTCTTAGAAGTTGCTTTAAGTTTTTTGGTGGTCCCTCATTGGATGTGCATATGTTTAGGAGCATGATTTTCTTCCTGCTGTACATATTCCTTGATTATTAAAAAAATGCCCTTTGTTGTCCCCTATAATCTTTTTCAGCCTAAAATCTTTGTTGTTGGATATTAGTATGGCCACCCTGGATTCTTTGAGGGAGTTGTTTGCTTGAAGGATTGTTTTCTATCTTTTGACTTTGAGTCTGTGTTTGCTCTGGCTGTTCAGATATGTTTCCTGTAGGTAGCAGAATGTTTGGTTCAGGTTCTTAATTCATTTTGCCACTCTGTGTCTCTTAATTGACATTGAGAGAGATTATCGTATGGGGTTTTGTGCCATCTTTCTGTAGAGGTTTGTTGTGCTTGTAGGGATTTGTCTTGTCTTACAGTAGCCCCTTTAGTCCTTCTTTTAAGATTGGTTTTGAGTCTACGAAGTTCCTGAGTTGTTGTTTATTCATGAAATAGTGCATTTTTCCTTTGAGTTTATCATTTTTCTCCTTTCCTGAGGGGCTTGAATTTTGGTATCAGCTAAATAAATTCTCCCTATAATTTCATCTCCCTACCGAATTTTCTTCACATTATTTTCTAGGTTTAGCTCTAAAATAATTCTTTTTCTTTTACTTACCTTTTTATCTCTGAACTAAATATATTCTCCTGTATTTTTGTTGTCTAAAGGTATTAATTCGATGGAAGATGAGTGCTG